GAGACATATTTCAAGTTTATAGCAAAATGGGATAAGTATTATTATTTTTAATCAATAGATATGCGAATGATAAGACGCTTCTTCATTGATCACCTTAAATAATTTTTCACTTTCTTCTACTTTCGGCAAAAATCACACAAGGAAGAAAATTTCACGGAATTTGACACAACGAAAATTGAGTTCAGACTAACTTGAAATACCGAATCACTTGCTGATGTTTTGTATAAGAATATGACTGATTGGTATCGTCAGAGAATACTAACTAAATTAACACAAACATTTAGTTTTTATTGTCGATACGAATTCAATCGGAGTTCGCTTCTCATTAATTGAAGCGAAAAAAGTCTTTCTCCAAATTGTGTGTTCATTCCTCTAGTTTGAAACGCTCGGCCGTTAAAATTAATGTTTAAGGGTGTGCAAGGGCGATTGTGATTTCATGAATGACTCTCTTGCACGTCCCCTCAGTTCATTTTTGTGGCACGGGCTCAGTGTCTCGCGTTCGATCAAATTTTCGTAAAAATTAAGGATTTTACCGGCTTTAAAACATAGTATTACTTTTTATCGTATCAAAGTTAATTAGATTGTGTTAAAATAATGTAAAAATATCGTGTCAGTGACAAGTTCCTCACGAAAACAACAAAATTCGTTAATTGTATGGAACAACACAAATTTTATTCTTATTGTTTTTCGTATATTTTTTCATCCACTAAGTGATGGTTTATGGTAGTCTAGAATATTATTTAACAGCACCCACATTTTATTCTCATCGGTTTTTGCACAACAAATTGGAAAAGTCATCGTTCGGTGAGCTCTGAGAAAGTGTAAATAGCTGGTTGAAGATTCCGTTGACCTTCTTTTGATTAAATATTTCTTCTTCGAATATCACCGTCTCTTAAAAGTCCGGGCAAGAAACAAGAAAAAATAAAAGTTGAAAACAAAATCACCACCAACGACTTCTCATCTCACAGTTTAATATATTTATTTGCATTTGAAAGAAATAAAAAATTAAATGAGCGAAACAACAACGATGATTAAATGTGGTCCGATGATAAAAAGATCACAAAATAAAAAGAAATGGTCGATGGTGAATTACAAAAATCGATGGTTTGAATTATCACGATCATTTCTGATATACTATGATAATTGTGAGGGTGTACGAGAGGTGAGCTTTATTATTTTATTATTTACAATTAATTTTATCATTTCACATTCATTTATCATCATAATATATTTAACAATGTTCTTAATATGATTTCGATTTAATTTAAGTTTACTTTTGCCTTCACCATTTGTTGAGGGTTTCCCTTCCATCTTTTGTTTACCTTTTCTGTTTTCTTTTTATTTCATTGACACCAATTTTGCAATTTTTTCCTTCTCATTTTACTCTCGTTGTTATTTCGCTCCCTCATGTCTCAAAATTTCCTTCCTAGTTGCAGGATTTTTCTCTCAATTTTATTCCTTCGCATGCGCAGAGAATTGTTGATCGACTCAGGGGTGTCATTGAGTGCTTTACTTTTATAAAGTTATATGAAAATCATTCTTACTTCCACCCTCTACTCATCTCTATCCCAGGATCCGCCCTGACTTAATCATCATTCAGAAGAAAATAGTTTGAAATTTTCATTTGCTATTAAAATTGCAAAAAGAAAGATTTATCGAATTATTTGATAGAAAATCAGTGTTTTGTTTTCAATTTTAAATCCCCAGTAGATTAGTCAAAGTTTTTCCTAAAACGTGCCATTTTTATACCGGCACAAATCAAGGCATTTGAGGTGAATCATTGAAGTGATACTCGTGGAAGTTGCACACTTCCCAGAACTAATTTAAAAAAAAGAAAAGGACTGAAAGTGAGAAAAATACTTTTCAAAAGAGTTTTGTGTTTCCTCGTGTAATTATTGCTTCATCTTTAGACATTTTGACTACCTAGGATTACATACTCAAAGTTGGAAGCACGGATTTACCATAATTAAAAGAAAAAAGAAACTTCTAGAGTGTTTTATGAAAAAATCGTGTTAATTGACATTACAGATCTTCCTTTCTATGGAATAAAAGCAAATTGAGGTAAAGTTTGTTATAAATAACGTGATAAATCAAACAAGTCTTAAATGTTACAGTCTCGTCAAATAAAAAAATTAAGAATGGACTCAAACATGAGAAAAATCAATAAATCCATACGGCAAACGTTTTTATTTCGAACAAAATGAAATGTGTGAAATGTGAAAGTTGATTGAGGGTGGTTTGAGTTCAAACTGCAATGGTGTGTGAAGTTGCATTTGATAAGTGACAGGGTGGAAAAACAAGATTTCATTTTTGTATTTGTTATTGTAACAAAGTTTAGTTTCAGTTTTCCGGCATAGTAAAAAATGTTCATTGAACTTCATTGTCGTTATGCAACTTTCGCAAATCCTTTTAACGATGCAAATACTTTGTAAAGTAACTAAAACTGTGATTTATTGAGTTGTTTATTTCTCTTTACAAAGATAAGTAGAAAGTTGTTGAAATTTCGTGTTATAAATTTTTTTTGTCCTCGAAAATATTTTGTCAAGGTACGAAAGTAATTTTTCAAAATTTTATACTTCAATTCTTCTTTAAGCTAACAAAACAAAAAATATTTATTAACAGAATCTCAAACAAGAAGTGGAATAAAGTTTTCAATAATGGAATTTTTATATTTTTATTTCATGTAACAAAACAAAACATTTAAAAATTCTTTACAAAAAGAGAAGCTTGCCTGACGAAAATATTTATGGTCGCCTATCATTTGTTAAGTCGTCATTCTTTTGTGTTTAGCAGAAGGAAGAGAAGAAAAAGAGACATTTCGGTCAGACGAATAATGATGAACAGAGATCATCTGAAACGTAAACTTGTGACAAGGAAAATGTGATTTCTATTTGTAAATTTCTTTCATTCGAAGTAAATTACGTGTCCTCATCGAATTTGTTAAGTGATTAGTGTCATGCAGTCGTTGAAGGGATTAAAATCTCATTGTATTGTGCTCTATTAATTGTTCCAAATATTTTCCCTTAATAAGCTTTTAGATTGAATATCGACATTTAAGAACTTCTTTCAAAACGACCTGACTTGAAAGTCGAGAAGGATTATGTAACAAGATCAGACAAAACTTACATTTACTAAGCATTCCTTCGATGAATTTCAATTGAGATCCCATTTGAATGCCAAGTCAAGTCCAATGTGCTTTACCTCGTCTCAGTCTTGTTTAATTTATTTCTTGCTCCTCAATTTACATAACAATTCCGTTATAATGAAATTAAATTTTCTTTCGACGTCTTGTTATTATGAATTGGATGATGAAGAAGAAGGAGAGAAAAAGAAGTTTTCTTGTTACAGCTCGACAGAATGAATGATGATCTCATATGCATAATAAAAGGGTTCAGACTTGACTCAGTATTTGGGTGATGAGATATATGAAATTGTGATATCGAGGTTGCGGCAAAAACACATTTGTTAATCTCTCGACCCTGTCTTTGTCATCTGATAAATCACATCGTCATGTTCATGTATACTCCTGCAAAGTATCAAATTCCACTGCTGTTGTTAGCCACAAAATAAAAACATGCAACTAAGGAACCAGAAATAATAAACAGAACGAAAGTTTCGTTTTTAAATAAATATTTATTAGATCTTCTAGTTGTTGTGTTCAAAGATCTTTATTATGTTCTGGATGGAATTCCTTTCATTTCGTAGAATTTCAATTTCTTTCATATTCGTTTGGTTTCTTCATTCTGAATGTGACATCCGATGAGTTATGAAATCATGTAAGAAAAGCAGAGAAAAAGATAAGAAAATCAAATATTTTGTCATCATAAATTCTACTCTCGTGAGCATTTTCAACATTAAATTTTATCATGCAGCAAGTTATGCAATCATGGATAAGAAATGTTTGAATCTGAACTGAAGCTCAGTTATTTTTATTGTCTGTTTGTGATAATGTTACAACGCATATCGTTCTCTGACCCATATTTTTAACGACTTCATTTTAATTCTATTCGACAGTTGAATGAACTCATACTTTTCTATAATGTTCAAGCTTAAAGTAATAGTTCAAATTGTTAGTAATAAGCTGTCTTGAAAGCTTCAAGTTATATTTAGATAAGGATTCTATGTCACTCAAACAAATTTCTTTTAATTCTGCTACACGTGTTTAGCATCTGTGTTCGACACAGACACAGAATATAAATATTTTTATTGCGAAATTCACATTTGATTTATATTCTAAGAGAAGTGAAGTTGAAGTTTCTTTTCCATATGTTAAGTCGAAGCAGCAACTTTTAAACTGCATTGGCAACTGCTTGCAGATGAGCTGCATTCCTTCCCTGGAGAGTCATAAAACTAACTTTAAAAGCTACATCAACGTTAATATGATGTTTGTAGATATTTTCATGCATTTTTTCTCGTATTTTTTAATAGCTGAATTTGTCCAAGACAACCCTTCGTGATGTGTTTACATTTTTCTTATCGCTATTTCCTCCGAAAAAATATTTGAGTTGAAACTTTCAACGAAATGATTCATTCTTAATATTATTTTGTTATCTTATCAACATCCATGTTATGTTATGTTTGTTGATTTCATGTCAATCTTCCCTTTTGCCACTGAAAAGAAAAGTTTCCATCGCCTTAAGCAAGGTTTCTTCTTTTTTAAATCATAAATTCAATTTGCATTTCAATTGGAATGAATTTTTCTTCAATTTATGAACATTTTTCCGACGACTTTTGTCATGGAAATTTAATTGTTTGCTTACTTAATATTAGTCTGTAGTTGTTCTTTTGATGTAAATGAAAAAAATAAATTGGTGCTAACAAAAACTGACACTGTAACGAATGTTGTTCTAACTTGATTTGTTCCACTTGATCTCTTTGGTTAATTTATGTAGAGCCACTTCTATGTAGTGAATTGCAACTTGAAGTAAGAGATGCAATTAGAGGTGGAGGAAGTGTTGACCTAAATGAACCACAAGATCTCTAGACAGAACTTAAAAGGATTATAATGAACTCTCACACATGAATACATAAAACTACGATAGGTGGAGTCTGAAGTCTTGTTTGTTCCGTCACATCGCTTCTCGATACTCGAATTTCCATAAAAATCCATAATCCATTCATCATCTTCCCCACAGTGTCACAAAGGGAACGAATTTCCATTAAAACGGATCATTTAACGTTCGAGTGAAATTATGAAACCATTGTGTTGTCATGATCCAATAGATTGAGCCATAAATTATCGATTGTTGTAAGAATTATTCATTTCGTTTATCTTCCTGTTGTTGAAATTTCTCAAGAGTTTTTAATTTGTGTATCTGACACCATCATTGGCAATTGTTGAACATTTTTTCTTATTAAATCCTTCAATAATTAATTTTAAATGGATCTTGACAGATGCTTTTGTCAGTGCGAATTGCGAAAAATAGATTTATGCAAATTAAATTCTTCTTGTGATGCTAAATCATTGTGCCGACATTTTAATCTGTAACCGTGTTAAGTAAATTGCCAACAGACCACAGTTGAAGCCTGAAACGAATTTGTAGCCAAACATTATCCGTCAATTATGACAGACATAAGCTTGCGACTTAACATTTTCTTCATATCCATTCTTACATTACAAAAATGTTTATCATGTTCAATGTCGGAAATGATTTCACCGATTTTTGTATGTGAAAGTTTGAAATGAAACGCACCGAAATGCAAAAGGAATTTCCGGTAACCTTAATAACAAAGAAATCGAATCGTTCTGTTTTGTTTCTTTTCACTTTTTTCGGCCACCCAAAGAACTATTGCGATTTCAACGTGTTTAGGTTGTTTAAATAAGTAAATCTTTCATGTCATCATATCATGTTGAATTTTTGTTTGTCATCAAAACAAAATGTTGTGTAAAAAATTGTAATTGTACAAAACAAAAACCATAAAAAATAAACAAAACAAAGAGAATTTAAAATTTTAATTGCAAACATTTTCTTGCTTTTTTGCTAATCTTGTTAAAATATCATCATCGCTAATTCATTAACGATTCCATGTGAAACTTAGCTGTTGACGTGATGCTAATAAATATTATAGATGCCGACGCATATTTAGATGCTTAATCAATGAGTGATTGTTGTAAATGACGGATTAGTTATGGGTTTGGCAGATAATTTTTGCGATTGCTTCAAGGGACATTAATTAAAGTATAATTACAGATAGAATTAATGCGACACAAATTGATGAATAAGTTACCTGCATTGATAAATGTTTGATATTTGATTGCACCTTCTATTCACATTCCAATCTCCGTTACATGTCACAATCTGACAACAATGCACACTTTATTGTATTGAGCTATGGAAAAGTAAATAAATAAAAGAAGATGGAAGGGACATTCACAATCGATTAATTGTTGGTTGCACTTTAATGATTTTCTAGTTTTAAATGTGATGGGTGGTAACTGTTATTTCAAATCATTTCATTCTCACGACAAGTATAGAAGCAAACTGGTTTAAAATCTGCGTTTGTTGATTAATCGAACATTAAATTTCATTATAATTACACAAGTTGAAGATGAAGACTTAGATTTAATATCCATTTATTTTCTACTTATAGAAACGCCGCGAACGTGGTCGTATAGATGTACGTGGAATTAAATTAGTCGAGCCAGCAATTCTGCATGGTGAAGGTGGCGATGCGTCAGCACCGAATGTAAGTAAATATGTTCATTAAGCAATCAAATGATATTTTAATTTGATCTTTTGTCTATTTTTACTCAGGGATATCCATTTCAAATCGGATACTCAGAATTGAATTGCATCACTGGTGGTAACAGCACATTGCCAACATTTACACTTTATCTTGTTGCTACAACAGATAAGGAGCGAAACGAGTGGATTCGTGCGATCAGAAAAGGTGCAAATCAATTATCTACAGTTATTTGTTTGTTGACTTTAAAACTTCTCTTTCTGCAGTCGCTGAAGATTTTTCGCCGAAATCATTTCGTTATCATCCCGGCTTGTTTAAAATTAATAAATGGTCGTGTTGTAGAAACGTGAGTCGAACTGCTTTAGGTTGTCTCGTGGCAACAATTTGGCCTGAGAAGAATAACAATTATAAAAGTGAGTACACATTCTTATCGCCTTTCACGTCATCTTTCAAAGACATTGGTGAAATAACAATTGGCATCAAAGAATGCTTACTTGATGTTTATTATGAAAGAAACGAAACTCTTATTTACAAAGAATTCTCTTCCGCGGTAATGTCTTGTTTTTTATTTGTGCAACCTTCTATCTGCCTTCTTTTTTTTGCTGCACATAAACCCGTTCCATTGTTGACGATGTGAATCGCAATAGCATTTTTACAAAGTTGCACCAACTTGAGGTTACTTTTGCGTAGAACCAAAGCAATTTCCACTGAAAATTGAGTTGTAATAACCGGAGAATGTTGAAACGGCTTTTTTTTTCTATGGAAACCGGGCTTTAGGCCATGATTCTGAATGTCTTCATACGACTTTTTATCTTTATTTTTCTTTCTTCTGCTTGTTTTGCTACAACTACAGGGGAAGAGATTCAAAAGAAGAAGTGATTGTCATTTTTTTAGCAGAACTCTTGCTGTGTCTTGTCTTATTTACCGAAAAAAAAAGGCAAGCAAAGAAAATCATTGAAAAGAAGCGCATAAAGTTTCTTTTATTGCTATTATTACCTTCTAATGTGTTACAAGAATCACTTAAAGAATAAGAAATAGAAACAGATTGAAGAAAGTCACTTTTATTTCAAAAGATTATTTCTAAAGTTATAAGAAAAGCAATTTTATGGTTTTGCTATTCTTCTTCAATACATTTAAGTTACGGTGCCGTAATAATATTTAGGAAATAGGATAAAGTTGAGATGTGTAAATAAACAAATTAAATGTACGAAGTTCTTGTTGCTTTGGTAATGTAGCGAGAACAGAGATTACAGCAGGTATTGCCATAGCAAATTTACGAATCTTAATCTTTTACAACTATCGGTAAACAAGACTGTTTAGAGCGATTGTAAAAGCATCACAGTTTGAAATTCCTGAGAAATGATTGTCGAAACGATGTGTGAAGTCTGTCAGGGGAGATCAGAAGAATTGAAATCTTTACAACTTCTGTCGATGCCGCCAACTGACACATTTATTTTGTGTCTTCTTCAATGCGATTTATTGTCGTCGACTTCACAAATGCATTTTGTTAGAAGCTTATAAATTAATCAGGATGTTGTTTATCGTCTGTTACTTTCTGTTCATCTCAGCGTGGGTTAGATATTTATGTTTGAAATCAGCAAATTGCTAAAGCAATTGAAACTGATATAAGAAAATATAAAAATTGTTTTGTAAGAGCGAGCGAAGTCACCTTCATTACAAATACTTCGAATCTGCGCAAATTTCCAATATATTATGCAATTTACCAGCATATTTGCAAGGCATCGCTGCTAAAGGAGCTTAAAGTTAATTAAAAATATTGTCTCAATTATGTAATTAACGTAAAGTTGCTGCAATGACATTTCTAACAATTGCCATTAATTTCAATTTTAAAACAAATCTAATGAAACTCAATTTATGTGAAGCGATAAACTGAACACTTTCGTCAAGAAAAAATGTTTGTTTCTTAATAATGTTGGAAAGATTAATGTCTCATCAGCAGCACATTTGGATTTTGTTATGTCGCAGGCAATGTCGTTTGAGAAATTATGACAAACAAACCAAAATTTTCCCATAAAACTTTGTCGTTTTTGACTTTTACCAAATTAATGCGTTTGGATGAGAGATATGTGAGATATATGCATGTAAGCGCGACATTTATTTTTTCATGATATTTCCCAGGTTCCGGTATCGCATGATGCGTCAGACTGACGATAAATATTTTGATTTAATGAATTCGTTTGTACTTTCTCGACCATGCTCTGACCGATAATATTTCAACCAACCAGACGCATGACTACCGCTTTAATTTCCTTTTAAATTGCAAGCTCTTGATTGAAATTAATAGAAATTATACGATCATTTTCTTCTGCGAAGGTTAAACTGATTCATTCTGATTCATTCAACGAATGAAACATTCTTAAATGCAAAAATATTTTTTTTAAGAAAGAAAATCGAAAGAAGGAATGAACGGAATTTTTTAAGACATAAAATATTTTTGAGAACACGGACAGAAACAAGCCATAAACACACATCAAGCAGCACACAATAAACTGCATCAACTGATGGCTGCTGCTGCTTTTCTTGTTCCTTGAAAAAAAATATTAAACATGAAACGCATTTTGCGTCGTAATATTTTTTTATTTTCCAAACTTTCGTTCAACTTCTTTAGCGACTAGAAAGAATGAAAATGTAGATAAAATATTAAAAACGTGTATGAAAGAAAAGTTCTTTGTTATGATTATGAAGCATAAGCAGGAAGATCATAAAAGCTGTAAACATAAAGATATCGATTGAATAATAAATTTACATGCCGTTGGCTAATGAACGCTTCTTATTCAAGTCACATTCAACTGCATTATGCAATAAGAAGTTACAAGGAAACGAGCATAGCTCAATCGATCAGATTTCAATACGAAGTAAACTCACTTAGATCATCAGCTCACTTTCAATTCGATATCATCTCTCACATCATCGAAAAAGAAATAATTTAATATGATATTTTCATGCCTTGTAGCTTTTCTTTCTTCTTTCATTTCTTTTTCTTCTGACTGGTTGATTCTTGGCTTGTGATGCATACATAATTGAAAAGAAAATCTGTCGATATTTTTGTTATGCTTCAACAATAATATTTATGTGGTGCTTGAGTTTTATGAAATCAAAGTTAAAATAAAAAAAGTGCTTTATGGGTCAGAACGATAAGAAAATTTAACTTTCCTTGCAACAAATTCCAAGAAAGTCGTTTTGAAAAAGTGTTTGCAATGTATCAAACATTGATTGAAAGTGGTCAATCTAATGATTAGATAATTACAAGCATTTGCACACTACATGGCATTGCAATTAGAATATAAAACAGATAGAAATCGAATCCATCGGTGACCTCTTTAAATATCCAACGAATTGCATAAATGTAAGCATAGAACTGAGTCAGGTTAAAGCAGTTAAATCATATGAACAACAACATAAAGAAAGACGAAGAAAGAAACAAAAAATAAAATAAAAACCGGTTCGAATGATACATAAATAATAAAAACTAAGGAATTGTAGAAGAAACCAGCAGCTACTTTGCATAATAGCTAGACAAGCCAGCGAACCTTCAACAGCATTACACTTGAGCATTTTTCTCACAGAACTTTTATTAAACAATTGCGCATAACCAACAGCAGTGACAAAAGATACAATGAATAAGAAACCATTAATTGGCATGCTAATAACATAATTAAATGTAATTCGTTTAACTTCTAACCGCGCGACCAAACATCGATTGCATAACAATTTTCAAATGTTGGGTGGCAAGAGAATTTATTTAGAATTTGTTGGGGTGACTAAAGGAGAAATAAGTTAATTGTTGCGAAGTAATATCATAACAAAAGCAAGGTTCGAAACGATTAATTAAACCGTGCAGAAAGAAAAAGAACTGGACTTTCCGGCTTTAGCATAGAAATGTTGTAAAAGGTCAGTTCAGAGCAGCCTTTTTGAAGGCATATAAAATCCATAAAAAAATTGTAAATTCACTTCCAGAGGCTCATCTCGATAAACGACACAGCCTGAAGCGAACGCTTTTATACATTAATGAAGCAAACGGTTGTAAAGCATGTGTGGAATTGTTAAAGATGAGAATCAAAGCTGGTTTTTAAGAGGGCGAGCTTTAGAAAAGAAATTAATAACTTTTAATAACTCGATGTGTTTATCATTTTTATGTTCTCTTCTCGCAGTTCGCTGCCCTTTACACAATAAATTATTCAATAAACTATGTGTTTTTATGTAAGACACAAAAGTAAGCTTAGCAGCCGCGCACCGGGCCACCTAATAGTTCGGCACAAAGTTTTTTGATCAGCACAGTTAGAAGATCACATAATGAGAAGCTCACCAGTCATAAGCTTGTGAAATGGGCAAGCATTCGACATGATCCCTCGTTCACTCATTTTAAATGTGATCGCATAAGAAGTTTATTAATTGTTAAATGATGCATGATGGAGAGCTTAACAAATGTTCCTTACTAAATCTTTCTAAGATGAAATATCGACAGTTACAAACACTCACGCACAAAAAGTTGACTGTGCAATGTGTAAACAACTAATAAAGTATCATGAAATGGATCCGTAAAATGTATTAGTAGCGTCTGATGGGTCAGTGGCACCCTTCGTTTGATCGCTTAAGACTCATGCTGTTGATGTTCATCATTGTCACGATCATCAAGCGACTGCTCGTTTCACCAAAAATAAAACTTTTCGGTGATCACAGTTGGATGTCAGGAAAACGGTTCATTCGATGTTTAATCGAAAAGTTGAAGAAAGTTCATGAATTTTTAAACCTTTATGGGTCGCACAGATGTGCGTTCTGACACTCGAAATGCATCCACACGAATGTTAATCTATGCCATCATTATGATTAACTAAATTTTAATTTTCTTTACGAAAGAAAAAGGAATAAATTGGTTGGTTGTATGGGAAACAGTGAACTTTATTTGGCTTATTGTCGTACAGTAAAACATTTCAGCATGTGGTGAGATGTTAAGCTGAAAGAAAGAGAAAGATATTTAACAGAAGTGTTAGTTTGAGTATTTTATATACATTTGTGTAGCAATACTTTTATGTCTTTTATCGTGTCAGTATTTTCTTGGCTATTCTATGCTTAAATTTTTAAAAGATAAAGAACTGAACACTTAATTGTGAAACTAAAGTCATGATAGTTCTAAAAAACATTTCCATCACACAACAAACCTGTCTGAGCTTGTCTATGATTCTATAGCATAAGATATCGCATTCAGTTTGGTATCGTTAAGAAGTTTAACAACAAATACTTAAAAAAGTAAGAAAAAAAATTCAAGTTTTACAACATTTTTTAACGCTTCAATGAAGTTGTGTTTGTGAAAGTATTTATGGTGGTGCTTGTTGGACCTCAACATCATCACAACATTTCGCCTGTTTCCAAACATCGCTAACACGAAACTCGACTTCTCATTTTGGAGTTTAGTTATCCAAGTGAATTTCTTACGATCAAGACGCGACTCTTCGAGACGTGTGTCGTTGCGAGTCAACAAGATTCTTTATATTTCATGTGTAAAGATTGCGTTTGATGTTTTTTTTTCTCGCGAGGTGCTTTTTTAAGTTAAAAAAATAATAAGAAACAAATTAAAGAAAGAAAAAAAGAAATTTATTGTGTGTCAAGTGAAGATCGTTTAGAATTGCTAAAATCTTGTGAATTTCTTTTCGAAAAGAAAGAAAAGAATTAAAAAAGATTCTAAAAGCATACAAAAGAAGTCTAAAGTCATCTTCATGAATTACAAATGGTAATTAATTTACTTTAGATGAAAGCTACAAGCCATGTTTTGTAATATTTTTTTAAAAGTGAAGATTTTATATTTCGGCGAATTTCGATGGCGAAAATATTTTTTATTCAAATATCAAATGGCATGATTTCGTATTTCTCAGCTCATTTGCTGGTATAAAAAAGTGTTTAATAATTCAATTATGCAATATGTGAGTTGCTGTTTTTAAACCAGAGGCCTGCCAGTGTCAGATAAACGTTTTAAAAGCAAAAGATATCTGAATAGATGTACATGAAAGATTTTTTTTCCATTTGTACTTGACAACAACTTTTTTTTTGTTCTCCTTTTGCTCGAGACGTGTTGTCGAAAAGCATAATAAAGGTGCAGATGAAATTAAAAAGAAGCTGGAAAAAAATATTGACTGAAGAAAAGTAGATTGGCAAGGCGAACATGAAACGAGCAACTTTTCGGACTTGTTCCACTTTATCTCGTCGTGTGTCTTGCTTGAACTGCAATTTATCGGAAAACGTTCGCATTGATGCTTTCGCAAATGTTAAGTCTTCATCCTTGACATTCGCATTATCTTAAATATATGTAATCCGCTCAAACTTATTTCGTTTTACTCTACCGCGCTTTGAAATAAATTTCACTCGTTAATTACGCAACTCTTCTAAGAGAAAACAAAAAGAAAAAAATGACAACAAATTTACACAAAAAGATTTTATTTTCTTTCTTTATATCATGACATAAAAAATTAATTTAAATTTATAATAAAAAGTGGCAGCGACTCGTGCGTGGTAAAAGTTGACTTGACTCGATCCAAGCCGATTAAAAGTTTTTTTTTCTTCTTGTCTTCTATGTTTGTGGTGTCCAACAAAGGCTAATTAATGCAAATAGCATATCAGTTTTCTTATTTAGTGACAGTGAATGATCTCAATCGTCCAATCACGAAAATCGAATTGAAAATTTCTAATTTTTATGTTTCCGACAACTTTTTTTCTGTTTTTATATTTTGGTATCATTTCGATGATATTTGTTTGAATGTTATCTTAACTTGAGACGAAGCATTACGGCTTAAAGATCATCATCCACGGACAGCATTTATGCAAATCGTGTTTTCTTCTCGACGAAAACTAATTCAAGCCGCTTGACCTTTTCAAAAGCGGAACCGCTTTCGAAGTTGATCACGTCTACTGACATTCGTGGTCGCATCTTCAAACGATTTCTTTCATTTCTTGCTTCTTAATTAATGCCTTATTTACTTAAGCTCTTCAGATGAATTATCAAACACCACACAGAGCTGCGATATTTGCTTTCTTTCAGTTCTTGCTTTGTTTCCTTGCTTGCTTTAAGCACTGAAGAGTGTCGAAATCAAATAAATGATTTTTAAACAAGATCAAACGTGATTAGACGAGAGGGCGAAAAAAAGAAAAAAGGAAGGCAAAGAAGATCTTCTTTGAATATTTATTTGTAAAAGAATGAAGAAAATGATCGAAGATGATGAAGTAAAACAAGAATCTTCCCTCGTCATTGAAAGAAGAAGACAAATGTTCCATGTTTAAGTAATACGAAGGAACAGGTAGAAGATTTAAATGCTTTTTTTTCTTTTAATAATTCGTTTCAACCTCCTTTGCCTCTGAGTGTACACAACAAACATTAAGGGAGAAGCCAGCTCATTATATTCTAATAATTTTAACATTTTTTAATTTTCCAAATTTTCTTCCCTTTTCAACATTTTTTTTTTATTTATTGCTGCCGATAGGTTTTATCCTTCTTTCTTTTTTTGTTTATAATTCTCAATGACGATGACGAGGGTAGAATTTCGTTTTCTTTTACCAACTATAAGTAAAGTGAATAATAGAAAAAGAACAAATTAAGGTGTGATAATAATCAGACATGAATAAGAAATTCAGTCAAGGGGTTCAAAGACGTTCAACAAGTCTCGAAAAAGAAAACTCATTCTGTTGATTAAGAAATGAAAGGCGATGATGACATTCCAATGCCATTTGTACATGTTTATATATGAGAAGATTTAGTGAAGTTGTAAAAATATTATTTTATGTTATTCCCACACGCCATCATGATTTTCCTTAATAAATGATGATTCGGATTAAGAAGTAATTCGCCGGTGAAACTTCATTAAGTTTTATTGGAAACAGCTTTGAGCTGTTCTACAACTTGTAAGGTTTTTATGTCTGAAGTTCAAGCAGTTTTTCAAGCAATTATTTTAATTATATTTATTAAACAATGAACAGACATGCGCTGATCAAAATTAATATCTTTTAAGTTTTTTTTGTCTTGGTTCAGATTTTCACAAAGAGAGTTCAATCGATTTTTTTACACATAAATTTACTTCTAAATTAGAGTTAATTATATTTTTACTTTTTTTTCTCTTCAAAGCAAATCAAATGAATTAACGAAAATAAAAAAAAATCGAAAAACTCATCTCATAATTGCACTCAAGTGTTGAATTGAATTCTTTTTTTTTTTTGGGGAAAGTTATGTGAAAATTTTTGAGTATGATAATGATAGTCGAGAAAATATTTTGGTTATTCCATAAACGTAGCATAAAATATTCTCAAAATACCCTACATACATTCATTGTGGATTTTTAAGGCAATGTTGACAATCAACCAAATTTGCACGAGCTAAACCAGATTCCATTTATAAGAAGAATTGTCCACATAAGGCTTCCAATGAATTCGATTGTATTTTTCCATGACAACATTCTCTCGAATGTCGAAAAGAAATATCAACAAGAATCAATTAAATATACATATTTGTTGCTGGCTGTCGAGATATCAGTTTGGATCACTGTAAAATAAAAGCAGTTCATTGCTGAATTATTGAATAATTTTGTCAACGTCTCGTAATTATTTCCTTGTAAAAAAGCAGCATTACAATCAAGCTTCATGCTTCGTCTAAAGTTCTAATTTTTCACTTAAAAAACTGCAAAAAAAGAGCTTCAACATTGCGTGATATTAAAGAGCGTAGGACGGCTCTGAAAAGGTCGATTGAAGGTGATCAGTACCGAGACGATTTTTCTACCGTTCAAAATCTGTAAACGTAGAGGAAATGATGGTGCTTTGAATCATATTCAATGGACCATCACGGCAACGTTAAACTTCCCAGTCATGTGTTGATAGCATAGAACAAGTAATTTATTCAAATGATCCAAAGCAGTTTTTATTTCGTAGCCAGGGTAACGGTTCTTGAGCGCAATTTTGCATTTCGACTGGTTTTTTTTTCTTTTTCTCTTTTTTTGCTCTTCTTGTTTATTTTTATTTTTTGCTTTTGCCATTTCTTTGGCGAATGGTCCACAACAGAAGAATCGCGAAAAAAAAGAAGAAATAAAAAGTGAGAATCAGGTTTATCTTGTTTTGAGTGGTTCGTGTCCATCGAGCAAGAAATCTTTGTGGTATTAGATGCAAAAATCATACTAAATAATTAATGGAACTTTAATTCATTCGCTTTATGAGTCCACGCCATTGAATTGGTTCCACATGAAAACTGTTAAGTGTCAAGCTTCACTTCACTTCTCTCGTGTTACTTTCAGTTTTTAATTTTAAGTTTGCTCCACTGGGCATTTATTCATTGTCGATTCGTGTTATCAAAAAAATAAAAAACTTTTTAAATTTGAAATCAGCAGTCATTAAAATTGTTTGCAAACACGTGTGTTGCTTTTTATAAACGTAGTTGCAACATGTACATTGTGAAGCAATTAAACTTTCTCATGAAGGTTTCTTGAACGTTTTAATGATCGAAACTATTTTTAAGTTTAGAAAATTCGCCTCGAGAACTTCTCTCCATTTCCATTCATTTCGTGTTTTATCTTGCGAATGGAAATTGTATGTTAATTTTTAAGTGGGCAGTTGAATCAACAATGTTGCTGTATCTACTTAAAAAATAAGTTTACTACAGTCGACTAAGATTCGTAACGGCTAATTAGGAAAACAAAAACAAGATCTGACAATTAAGCAACTTCACGTTCGGCTTATCAATTGCAAAATATTTAAAAGAGCTGTGCAAAAAATATAAATAATTGAAATAAGAAACATTTATGCAGATCTGTCGATTCCGGTTCTTTGTTTCACGATCCAAGTAAAATTCGCCATCGAATGTCGCCTGAAATTAAACAACAACAAAGCTTTCCAAATGAAAATGTTTATGTTAAAAAATTTGTCTTTTCATCAAGCTAGTGCTGCGTCTCTTGTGTTGGAGAAGACAATCAATAATAGTGGCCATGCCCATCAATAAATCACTAATAGATACATGTTGATGCGTAATCTAACAGTCGACATCAGTAATTGAGTTATTTGTGTAAAAATTTTAATTAAAAAAAAAAATTAATCATTTTCATACGAAGCAAATATTCCGACACCGGTAGCGCATCAACTTTATTGTTGAATGGATTTTTTTTTTTTTTTTCCTTTTATTGTTGTGCCTAGATATCGGAATAAATTAAACTTTTGAATAGAACGCGAGTTTGTGAGTGAGAAATATATTCAGTTCCAAGTTTAATATTGGAACACTCCTATCAACTCTGTGAAAAGCTGTTGAGTCGCATACAAGACAACAACGGAAAAAAAGCAAATCTCTGTCGAAGGTCTGCAAAAGATTAATGACGAGACTTTGTTGATTTTTGGTGAAGCCATCCCGTGAACACGAGAAGAAGAAAACAACGTCAGCATTTTCAAATGATTCCGTGCGTGAGTTTGACGGAAACAAGCGTTTTGGGGAACATGAAAGAGCGCGTTAAAGAGATGCGAGTTTTTGGATGTCGTCTAAACTTCTGGAATAATGTCACCAACAATATCTCGAATAAAGGTATGTTTATTACAAGTGGTTAGTTGTGAACAGTTACATTATGCTAATGTTAGCCCTCATAGCTATTAAACTTGTGTGTTTAAAGTAATGGAAGAAAATGTATCCCAATAATTACGAAACTTAATTGTCTGATTATCAACAAAGTTTCATTACGCCAACTTTAATTATTTCTATAAAAAGAATCGAAGCGATGTTCAATGAATTGTGTAAATATACTGTTGTTGTAAGTTGTTAATTGAGAATTAATCGGTGTGGAAAAAAAGAAGAAGGTTTTCTATTTAACGGCTTTCCGATTTTCTTTGATAAGAAAAGTTTTGTAACAAAAAAGAAAAATAAATGAAACGTCAAATTTATCGACCGCATAACGCTAAAATTTTCGGGTCGAGTGAATCTCAATCGGTGTTTTTTGGTAAGAAGCTAAAAAATCTCAGCAAAAAGTGGTCATTTCCTTTCCCCCCATCAACCATTAATTGCTGCCCGCAACCAACCAACATTCATGTGTTTGGTGCGGTTTTCGCTTTTCTCAAGAAATGAAGAAAAAAAAATTGTTTCTCTTTTCTTATTCTTTTCGATTTCAATTGTTTTCAAATCTCGTTGCCCGAATTATTTTCTTTTCGGCGGAAAATTACAACTTGTAAGCCATGGAGCACACGCAATTGATTTCAAATGTTATTATTAGTTTTTTTTTACTCTTGTTTGTTGATGCTTTGAGATGTGCGAGCAAGAGAAAGAAATCATAAAATAATTGCCCATCATTCGTTCGAGGAAAGGAAAGAAATAAGACAAAATCTTCTTACTTCTTGTTCAGCATTCGAATCGAATCAGAATTAGAATTAAAGTTGAAAGCTTGAAATTGAAAATTAAATATTGGAAACATTGAATTAATAAGTTTTTGAAGCTGAGAACGTCTGACTTGTGTGTAAAGCTTGTATCTATAGTTGTGGTGTTAAATCGAAACGAAGCATGATGTTTAACTGCTTGTTTGATGAGTATAAGACACATCACACCTTAATCTCCATCTCAAACGCAATTTCTTTTCTTCTCTTATTTCTTTTCGTCTTGATTTACGAACTTTAAAGCAATCAAATTTTCAACGCTTTTATTTTGACGCTTCGATGTTTAAAGATCGAAATGATGGCACAACTGGAAAATTTAAGATGAACGAGTGAAAGAGTCAAAGATTTGGAGACGCGACTTTACTTATGGAAAGGGAGAAAAAAAGTTCGATTTCGTCTGGAAATGTGCTTTGTTGAACATTAGTCATGGCATGTTCTTCTCTTTCATCTCTTTGCTTCTACTTTAATAACTACACTAAACATAAACCAAACGACTCATGTTGTAACAATTTATCGATTGCTTTATGTGCAGATGTTGCACATCTTTAAAAAAACTAAATCGAATTTTTTATGACTTTCAATCCTCATTCAAACTTCTCCTTTAAAAACTTTGACGTTTAATGAGTTTAGAATATGAAAGTTAAATTGTTTTTAAGAGAAAAAAAAATCAACATCAACAGTAATTTCTGCTGATGAAGATGAAAAAAGTTGACCATATGTTAGTCTGAATGTTTGCAATTTTAGCTTTTATGATGATCCTTTAAATCACGTTGTAATTTTTCGGATGAAAATTCACCTCATGAGATATTTGCTAACCGCAGAGATGGCATAAAAATATAAAAATTGATTGGATTTCTCTTTCGTACATTTGCCAGATGTTTGAAGATCGTCAGATTCATTTAAATGTTAATATCCTTTAACTGAAGGAATCTCCTGTTGCTTATAAACTTTGCAAAAGTAATTAAAATTGTATCAGCCGTCATCAATGATGTTTGGAGAGGTCTTAAGATTCAACACCTTTGAGAAGATTGACCTGAAACTTCAGCTATTTCTTCAGAGATTAACTTGCATGACAAGCGGCACTAAAAAAATTAAGACAATGAAAGGTGGAGTCAAGACAACAATGCAAATGCGACAGTCCAAATGCGATCTCAATGAAATTTGAATGCAAAAAAAAAGAAGGTTTTGAAAGATTTACATTCATGCAAGTGTTAGTCGTTGTAACGCTTCGTGTGAGAGAAACTCACAAACGTTTGTTAATGAGATGTAATAAAAGAGAATTTCCAAGCATAACTCGTTGCGACCTTTGCATAATGATAATTTATGGCACATTTTCATGCTCATTTCTCTAAATCATGTTGCGCGCTTCTTTTCACTTCATTGCCAGAGCAGCTCATCATTAAAGAAAGTATCGGTCTCATGCGGAACAAAATAGGATTCTCGATTTTAATGATTGAAGTTCTTTCTCCTCGTTAATTCCATGTTGACCACAAAGCTGCTTATGTCGGACTGAGTCCAGTTTGCGGTTTTTTATTTCTCGCTTCAGAAAATAAACTTTATAAAAGGAATGATGATGAGGGCTCGTGCAATAATTTTGTAAGCAATTTGCGAGTCAATTGCTAACCCGAGAATATGCCTTCTAGTTACCGCTTCATGTTTTGTTTTAAGTGTAATTGTTGAATGTGGTTTTTATATGATGACCAATTGCATCATGAAAAAATGTCAGCCAATTGATAAGCTAAGTTTTCATTTGAAAAACTAATTAATGTCCAAGTCATAAAACTTAGTCGGATAGTTTTTTATTTTATTTTATGATTCGTCGCCTGAAGTTTCCTTGAAGTGCGTTAAAGATTCTTACATTCCGTTTTAAAACAGTTCAAAGATAAATTTCTGCTTTGAAATAGTTTTCAAGACGATAAAAACCTCTTTAAACGATTAGGAAAAAAATCTTCCTTAGCAATCTTAAAATACTTACAATCACAACTTAAATCCATAATTATCCGATGGTCATCATGGAATGACTTTGGTGCGAAGAAGGTCGGTAAATAATATGCAATCAAATGGATCCACTCGAATGTAATTCTTTTTTATTTTATTTTCTATCAATATGTGCATCTGTTAAACATAATCACGATAAATTCTTTATAAAATTGCATTGAAAATGAATTTAAAAGTGACATCAAAGTGCAATTATACGACCCTACAAAGCTTAATGCTTTCAATTATGCAAGAGCTCAAGCATCATAAATAGTTGTATGACTTTCAATTTCCAATCTTTCAATGCTTCATCTCATGAATCTATGCTTTGGTTATGCATGCTTGAGGCGTATGCAGATGGTATGAGAGAAACAAACCGAGAGCAGTAAATAGCAAACATGTTGTTTGTTACTTGTTACATTGACTCGTGTATCGAAACATGGCGAATAAATCGAGTTTCTTTAACGGAATAAGAAGTTTTACCAATTAATGTACACATAAATCATTCTTCTGTTTCTCATTCAAACAAACAACAACATGTTTCGAAAAAAAAACTATCTCAGTTGTTTTAAACTCTCAAATAATTTAAAAAGCTTCATGGAATTACCTCATAGCTCGATGTTTATATGGAATTAAAACTATTTCTTGTCTGATGTATTCAAAATCTCCTTGGGGAATCACTTGCGAAATAGTTTTAGTCGTCAAGGTAATCAAGAGTTCAATTCAATGTTTCATGTTTGTCATTAGAGGATTAAATAGTTAGCTAAAGTAATTCGATATTATTAGCTGTGCTCTACTGTCTACTTAAATAAAGGCCATGGGGTCATTATGTGCGGTTTTTGTGGCTTTTCCAGCACTCAATTATTCACGTCGAAACTAATTGGAAAATGTTTCACTTCTTTCTTTCTTTATTCATCAACGTTTGTAAAAAAAAATTAACATTTTACATTCAATTGCGGGGGCTTTTCGCATATTATTTATGCACTGTCAATAGGGCAGAGATTAACACAAAAGCCAACACGTAAGAAGTGAATTTGCAATTTATTTGTTGAACTGAAAAGTATTAAATGTCAACTCGAGCAAGTAATCAGCAAGTTTCTTTGATTGTTACATATACGATTTTAAACCTTTTTTTATTATTGTTAAAATCGCAGTTTTGAACTTTTATAAGTTCCATATTTGATTTGTACTTTAATTATTAAACTGATCAACGATCGAGTATATCAAAAAATCGAACATGTCAAGTCTCGTAAGATTTTTTTTGGTTTCTTTTGCTGTTTTATATCGTTGGGGGTTTTTTTATTATATTTTGTTTATCGGTTGTTAAATATTTAAAACATAATAAAAAAGAAATAAAAATATACGAAAAAGAAGTTTAACGTTTAAGTTGAGTTGTCTGGAAACAGGTTGTGCAATTCAATAAGATCAGTGAGTTAATTATTACAGCACTGATATTTAGAACTGTCTACCTAGAGCTTGTTGTGAAATATATTTGTAAATGATCTCTCATTTTCAACGTTGTTGATTACTTACATGAAAGTAAATAGAATATGGTTCATGTTTCTGCAACACAAGTTTGCCGTTGTGTTCAACATATGTTCGTTGGTTTAATTAATTTACGGACGGTATAAATTAAACAGAATGTTCTTTTCGTGATATCAAATAATCAATTTGTGGTTGGGAAAAATGAAAGCTTCGTTGTGCCGCGAAACGCACACATAGCAAAATAAGAAACCACTTTACCAATAATCATTATAAGATCGAAGGTTTTAGTCGAAATGAGTTGATCGTGTGCGGCTGCCGCAATGTTTTATTTATTCAATGTGAACCCTGAAAAATCAAAGCAGCACTTTACGGAGAATAATGAAAAAGAAGTTATGCGTCAAGAAGTGTTGAAGCTCACTTTTATTGAGATTTATGATCATGATTTGCGATCAACTCTTTCGAATACTTCTCTACTACAATCGTAAATTGTCGACAAGTAAATTGGATCTCAAAGGAACCTGATCGTGCTCAAAGCACAAAACAAACAAATTTTCGACACAGTAAGATGATTGATTAGGCGAGTAATGTGTCACATGTGGAGTTTATTTATTGTCTTATTCGTTACAATTGCTGCGTTTCATTTCAAGTGTCACTTCAACTTTTACACATTCACGAACTGGAAACTTCACTTATCAATGTTTGAACTTTAAATTCAACACAGTGTGAATGTTGCACAATTCTTTTTCACGTTTATTTTGACAATTTGAGAATGAAAACATTCAAATTTTCAAGTAGATACCATTGAGAGTTAGATTTGCGATCAAATCTTAAGTGATATTGAAACCATAATTTGTAAACTTTAATATGTGAGGGCGGGGTTGGTTGGCAAGAATGAAATTATCAAAAGTTAAAACGCTCATATGTCAAGTCATTAAAAGCTTTTTAAACACCAATGACTTGATTCGACCTTCACCACCGCGTGCTATTTACAGAGTTAAGATTTCAATTTTATTTTCTTTTTCTTGTAATGATGAAAAAAAAACTTCTCAATCATTTAAATAAATTTCTGTTTGTCTCAAGTACATTTGCAGAAAATAATTTTGTTTTTTTTTTTTGGTGTGAAATGCTTAAGCGGCGTTTAAACTCTTTTTTTTTGCTGCGTGGGAATTTATCAGTTGAGTAAATAAAATTAATACGTCGTCTTACGATGAAGACAAAGTTCCTGAGAATTGTGATGCAATGACGATGTCGAATTGCCTCGTAAATAGTTGAGTTGTTGCGAACTCAAGAGGCCTTTTGTTTTTAATAAATATTGACACAAACTGTTTTAATGAGAAAGGAAAAAAAGAAATATTTCTGAGGTGTTTCTAATAGCTCTGGATGTCAAGGGAATGAACACATTTATTCATGAAAGAAGTGTGCAGCTGAAATTTCAATCTTTTTACAATAACAATGCTTGGTCATTAAAATATTTTAACATTTGATCACAAGGAACAGGCTTTTAAAAGTTGAACTGCACTACCATAGACGGAATCGTTAAACTATTTACACATTGATCGATATTACTACATGACGCGATGTTTTATTAGAGCGGAATTGTTTGTCTTTAAATCTTTTTTAGCAAACACGAAAATGGCACAAACGAAAAAGAAGGAAACGAAATGAAAAGCTAAACTATAACAGTGTTACTTAAAAGAAACAGTTAAAGGGGAGTTAAAAGTTAAGAGAGAATCGTGAAATAGCAATCATAATTTGAAGTTATTACTAACGATTCGCTATGGTCTGGCTGCTTGGAAATGATCGTCCAACATAGTCCATGGCGCTTTTCCCAGCAGATATTCCATGCTTTGGTTAAAAAGTAAATCTATTGAAATTGTTGTGATAGCTCTCAGTGGGTCAAGCAAATCAAGCATCATGAACATCGTTAAACGAGAAAGAAAGTTCTTCTTTATATCTTTAAAATCCCACATTGAGACTGTTGCCTATTGACCCAATATATGTTGTAAAAATCTGCGATTTAAGCGTCTAATTCTTGGTGCTAGTGTAGGAGAACGGAAAACAGAGAACACTTGACACGAAACCAAAGATTTTAAGATGCTTATAACAAAAAATGAAGAAACCTTTGTTTCGTTTTCTTGATCTTTGCTTTACCAATGCTTCGTTGTTCTCAATCTAGTTTTGTTCATTAATCTATATTCTTTTTCGGTTGAGGCCGCACCTTTGGGCACATTTTCGTTTGATAACATGGCAAAAGTTACACCGTGGGAAAAAATGATGGATTGAAGTTGAAAGGGAATAGAATAGAACATCGCGTGGTTGATGTGCTTCTCGATAACATTCATTAAATTTCTATTCGCTAAAGCTTCATTCGAAAGCGTGGGTTGATATTCATTGACACACAACATTAAAATATGGTTGAGCTTATCGACGTCAAAATCATCAAATATGCACAATTTACATCACTCTTCGCTTTACAAATAAACGTGAGGCTTTATAATTCATAGACGTTGCTACATGGAAGCATCGCGACGTCTGTCACAAGCAATATGTGAAGTAAAAACCTTTCAAAAGGTGCAGAATCTATTACAATCTGACGCAATACGTCAACAATGTTTCTTTTCTTTTTTTTTCTTTCGTTCATAAATATAAAAACGAGGAGAAATCGCATTGACCTCCTTCATCATTATCCATTCATCTGCAGTCGATTCCAAAACGCGTCAGCAGCAACAAATGAAAGTGTAATTGTGGTGCTGATTTTTTTTTCTTCTCCTTCTCTCTATTATTAAATTGTAGTTCGCTTTTCTTTTCTTCATTTTCACTCTTCTTATTTATTCGATTTGTCTTTTTATCGAACAACTGCAGACACTCGTTCAAGCGAAATGGAAATTTTTATTTCATTGAGGCCGATCATAAATGGAAATTTTTAGTATCGCAAGTAGATGAGTGTGATGACGATAATAATGTTGATGTTGCTTCTGGCGATTTCCTTCAAGAACAACTGTTCTCATGAGTTTGAAATCAATCTACATACATAGCTAATGATGAGGCCCTAAGGTAGTAATGATAAATCCCTGGAATTGATGTTGTTTGCTTTTTATTCATATGGATTATAAAACAACTTAAAATTCAAATTCAAATTAAAAGCAAAAGTGAAGCAAGACACTTGTTAAAATTATTTTAAGGCTGGGCACAACATTTTGTATTATGTTTTTTTTTTTGAGATCTCAATTTCGTGACTCGACCGAAATAAGCGAAGAAGAAAAGGAAAAATTGACTTTAATTGAATCTTTTAGCTGTACATCTTTGATGGTGGTGTGTTGACTTAGCTCACTAACAATACAACAAATTTAATGCCATTTGAATGTTCAGCTTGAAGTGAATGCACTTTACGCTTAATTATATTCTTCTTCGGTTTCCATCACCACTACATTAAAGAAAAACCACGATGAAACCGATTTCTAACTTGAATTATGTTGTGCATAAGTTTGGTCACAGCCAATCAATGTTAATTTTCCAAATCGTTCTCTCTCTTATCACGACTTTGATTATCAATGTTAATTTTATTTCTTTTAATTATGTTTGTAACATTACTTCATGATTTTCCCTTTGATGTTAATATTCAATGTTAAATAAAATACAGTCGAAGATTTTCATTCTGCTTTGTCTAACTTAGCAATTTTCGCTACCGACGTTTAGTTGAGTTGCTTCAGTCGGTTAGTGGCATTCAAATAAAAATAAACTGCGTGCCTTTGTACTATCTGCAAAACAACGTTTGTCGTTTTCAATTGGAAACAAGTTGGAAAAAATATGCAGGAAATCTCGTGAAAAGTCTCTCACTCTCGCGATATTTAATATCATTTTTATCTTGTTCAGAAAGATAGCGAATGGACAAAGTGAAGAACAAACTTTCAAAGTATCGGCAATGTTTAGTCAGTGAACCATTTTTTCTACTTTTCGTGTTATTCGTTGATTTTCTTTACCATTTTCTTGCTTTCTATTTTTTTATGCTGCAAGAAACTCGGTGTGCAGTGAAGAAAGAAGTTTCAATGTTTCGCTAACAATTAATGAAATAAAAATCTTTTCAATCAAATGGAAATAGGTTTTTGAATAAAGAAGACGAAAGAAAACATTGATAGTTTGAAAATTACAATTTAAGTATCAGAAGTGCAAAAGAAAAAATTAGTGAGAATAAAGAGAAAAGCTTGGCAACCACTCCTGGAAATTAAAATTGACTGAAAATATTTGTTTAAGTGAAATTATCGCGGGTGCAGCTTCTTTTATTGAAGAATTATGATGTTATTGTCTTCTCTGAAATTAGGTAAATTGAGCACTCAGGGAATATTTATCGTTAAAAAGTAATTAACGTATCTTTCGTTCAACTATCCTATTTCATTAATTACACATGCTTACTTTGTTAATCAACAATTCGTAGGTCATTTCCTTCAACTTAACTGTAAACGCTTTTTAAACAAATTAAATAACATCGATTTCATAAACGTCAAATAGCATTACAAAGTTTTCTCACGTTTTGCCTTTTCACGAGTCTGTTTTTAAACAATTCGTCTTTCAGTGCAAATTGATGCGATCACCTCGCGTGGCGACGAATTTTTTTTTAATTAACTCATGACAAAAAAATATTATTATCAATTTCCTCATACGACAGAAGAAGCAAACAAATGTTTGTATGGCTGATAATAATTTCTATGACAATCAAACTTCAATAAATTTAAAACGCATAACGACTCGCCGAAAGAGTAGTGAAAACATATTATGAAGGTGAAAACGAAGTTTTAATTAATGTCTAATCGAATATGTTGAAAAAGAATTAATCAATGATTATGAAAGGTTTCAAAAGAAACCCCGTAGACTGATGAAAAAAAAACATGTTAAATAAACGAGTGAGTTGATAAGTTCAGGGTCATCTTAAAATTTATAGCGATTAATGTAGATTTGATTGAAAGCAAATGAGAAACGATTTTTATTTTTTAATAAGCAGCTGCTAAAACTGCTTAGTGAAATTTGTATGACATGATTGATTGAGGAAGATCGCTAATTAGCAGAGTACTCAGAAATTTATGACATATTTGCTCTAATAAATTACAAAACACGTTCCACCCTCATGAAATATAAGTATTGATGGAAAAAAAAATCATAATGATTTGACATTAATTCGAATATAAATCATTTTGAAATGTTAAGTAAAAAAAAATATTGCAATTATTGCATCTTGTGACTTGATTTCCTGCAGACATTTCTAACACTCTTCAAATTCCTCATAACAACTCTCAACACATGTATCTCAAATTACGCAATCGTCTTTTAAAAATACGACAAGAAACAAGAAAATATGAAAAAGGTGCAAGCGAATGATTTTAAAGCACATGTTGTCTAGCAGGATGTCGATTGGTTTAATGTCGTTGAGACCGATATATGTTTCAAGATAATCTTGAACAGCAAAAAAAGAAATAAAATGAAATTAGCGTTTGGTTTCAACGTCAATTGCTACTCAAAGAAAATTGCATTAAGTTGATAATTAGGAAATGATCGCATATTAATCGATCTGCATTCAAGCGATGGCCAAAGAAACTGTTCAATTTCCTACTTTACAGTGGTGGTTTTTATTTTTATTAGTTCGCACTGACTCTTTCGACACGCGATTTAAACACTTAATGTACAGCTAATAATGACGTTGATCGTTGTTTATGCAATAATATGGAACCAACAGCTGCCGACCTTCAATTTGGCAATAATAAAAACACTCTTGCGCGTTACAGTTTCATCTAAATCGATCGAACGCTTAATTAAATTCGAAAAAGCATTTATGACTCAAACATTGTCTATGCAGTATTTTTATGGTACATATGAACATGGAATTCGCTTCACCTGCTTTCGGAATAAAGTGGAGCGCTTAAATATTCAAACAGCAATTTATTAGTTCTTAATATCTCCAACGTTAACTCACCATCGCTTCGTCAGTCAACTTGTTATTGTTTGAAGTTGATTTAAAAGCATTCAATGACTGCATCGTACTCAAACTGCACGAATTTAAGCTGACTCAGAATTGTTTAGGAATTAATTGTTTCACATGTCGATAAATAGTTGAGGAATTTATGAATGGCTGTCTAGTTTAATTTATTTATTTATGTTTTAAACAAATTCGTGCATTGAATTACGACACCGCCAAAGAAAATTAAAAAACGAAAACAAACAAAAAGGCGAATAATTATTTGAAGAAGCAGAACGACGTTAATGAAATTTAACAACTTTGTCCGAAAATGACAACGATGACGACGACGACGACGCATTTAAGACTCAACTCTAAATTTTGTTTAAGTTAGCGGAAGCAATTATCAGAAATTTTCTTCTTCTAACTTTCTTCAACATTTCTTATCACCAGACCGAATCGCTTTTGTTTTGAAATATTTTCAATTGCGTCGACGAATTTTAAGCTTTTTTTCTTTCTTTCTATTCACTAATTTGGGAAGTTTGACGTTTGTATTTACAGTTCTGCTCGATGAAGCGCTTGAACATTTCATAACATTTAATTGCTTCGTTAATTTATTATTTCAACGGATGAATCGTCTCAGTTTCATCGACGTTTTAATTATCTATCAGGAAATCAATTGATGGCATTAAATTGTTGTCTGAATGTTTGAACACTTGTTGCTTGTGTTATCTTGAAGTTTATTTAACTGCACATCATGAAGTGTGTAACAGCTGTGCATATTTATCATCAAAAATTCATCATTAATTTTCCATCCGTCATTAAACACTCCGGAAACGTCTAAAGAACAAAAAGAAATGCATTTAAATTAAAGTTTTTCACTTGCCTTCATTAGTCTTAACGACTTGTCTCCCCACAGCTTTTGATAAAAATCTAAGTCAAAAATATTTCGTTCCCACACTTTGTAATGCCATTTTTCAACTTGAAAACTATCTACTTAATTACCACCAGAATTTTATCAAATAAATTAAAATTCACATGAGATAAATGCACACTTCCTGCCACACTTCAAAGCTTTAATTTTTTTAGAGAGATTTTTATGCATAAAAATTATTCTTCCCTCATTTAATATTCAAAACTCATCACATTCATCAGACATGAAAATTGCTAGTTTCGACAAAGCAGAGAAATATGCAACTTAAAATGGAAACGGCAAGAATCTCGACTTGATCATTATTGTTTTTATTCATTCGCGAGCTGCGTCCAACCAAAGCGTATCATTAAAATTTCAGAAATGTGCATAATTTTATTGTTTTTAATAATTTTCCTCTCCACTTTCCAAAGGATGGTTGTTGATGGCTTTTTCTTCATTGAGAATGAAACGATTTCTAAATTTTGTTTTCCTTTCCTTTAAACGACAATCATCTTTAATTTATTCACTTTTTGAAGAGGATTTTCGCACTGTTAACTTAATGAACTCGCACTTCAGCCACTTGAATTATTTGATTTATTTATGAAATTAAAAATTACAAAAATTCTTCTTTTCTCGTGAATTTAATTTGATAATCGAGCATTTTAAAAATCAAAATAATTTAAGAAAAATCTTTAAAATTCGCAAGCATTTTCGAATCAATTTTTTTTCACATGATCACTTAAAGTAATGTGAGAAAAATTAAATTAAAAATCAATTTTTCATTTCATATTGAAATTAAGTTGTTTTGAGATTTAGAAATAGCGAAAAGCTTGATAATTGTAATGTAGAAAAATATTTACAAGTCAACTGAAATCATTTCATGAGATGTGGAGGTCATCTTGATTAATTCAATATCATTGTTTATGTAATTATTGGGAAACATAGTAACATCGATGCTGCTGTCTCGTTAATTTAATGTTTATTACGCTTTGGACCCTTGTTCAATCGTCGTCAATTATCAGGCAATTGTGAAGATCATTGCAAGTCTTCTTTTGAAGTCAAAAAGATTGCTTAGAAACAAGAACGAGTGATCGCGTTTCCGCATCATGCATCGATCGTTAGAGGGTTCACATGAATATAAGATCCCCACCTCATGTCGACACCGTAAATTATCTTCAAATGCGCACGCGGATTTTAACATTAATTAAATTAACACCGAATGCTTCTCATTGAAGGTCAAACGCCTGGTAATGTTAAAACTGTTGTTATGCATTCTTCCGAACTTGGGTGTAGCTGCAATGAATCTTAACTAACTTTTGTTGTTGTTCCTTTCGATTTGATATTAACATGCATGACACGAGTGACGGGTTGGAAGATTCTCTTGTTTGTTGTTTGTGGATAGTTTTCGGCCGACGCTAATAAATTAACGAAGCGTCTTTGAGTGACTTTGAAATAAACTCACCTTCTCTTTTCATGCTTCGATTATTCTTCTTTAGACTTTTAGTGAATAATTTAAAGCACAAAATATCTATCGCGAAAAGGATTTTTTTGTCGCTGTCATTTCCGGTTCTTAAGTCAGAAACATTCCCATCTTATGGGAAAGAATTTCAATTCATTCAACATTCTTTTGACGATGCCATCGTACCCGCAATTAACTTAGTTGCCAGTAAATGTTCTCTTCTCGTTACGTATCGTTGGATTCTTAATCGATTGAAGAGAACACAAAAAATTGTGAGCGAAGGATTTCAGAATGGAATTCCAAAAATGTTCTTCTTCGAATCGATGGAGAAGCCCATAAAACCCAATCAGGGTAGAAAGAACTGATGATTATCATCGTTTACGTTCGCCCCATCGCGTGTTTATCTTTCATTCATTTCTCTCGATAGTCTCACGATGAGAATTTATAATTGCAAAGAGATAAATTATGATGATCTCGATGGAATTCATTGTGTGAATGAAATGATTCATGATGTTTATCAACGTTTCTTATTACGCAAAATGATCTACAAATATTTATGATCAAATAAAATTCTTTCATCAACCACACACAAACATAATAAAAATGATCTGTTATTTCACCAACAATGTTCACTGAAAAAATAATTTGTTGTCATCATAAATCATACCTAATGCTGCTACTTTAACTAACAGTTTCAATATCCTTCAATTGCAGGCAACGGAAGTAATTCACCCGCCCAAAATTCAACGCGAAGTATTAGCCCAAATACTGCTAACAATAATAACAACAGCGGCCATATCATTCAACCCGTCTCACCACAAACACCTTTACAGCTACAAACATCGTCATCATCGCCTAAACAGTCACATCATTTACTAAACAATTCTGTTAATTTAGGAAATATTACGCCCACCTTCAGTACGCCACAACAGGTAAACCGTTTAACTGACACTTACTTGAGTTTTGGTTTTGTGAAAGATTTTACTAACCTTTCTTCTTCTTGTTTTATATTTATATTTTAGACACCTTTGTCTAGCTTTAAGTCATCGCCGTTGAACGGTAGCGGGCAGCACATCAGCGGTGATATCAACATGCCGATGCCAGGAGCAGTTGTCGTTACACCTGGTACACCAAACTCAACGACTAAGGTAAATTGACGATTAAAATTAAGTGCATTTAAGTTCATTCTTATGAAATCATTTCAGGATGGCTCAGGTCGATTGAAGATTGTCGTGGCGTTGTATCCATTTAAGGCGATTGAGACTGGAGATTTGTCCTTGGAAAAGGTAATAAATATTCACTCGAAATTATCTCAATATTTCCATTGTGACCATTTTTGTTTTTCTTTTGCTTTAGAATGCTGAATATGAAGTCATTGATGATTCACAAGAGCATTGGTGGAAGGTGAAAGATGCCGGTGGTAATATCGGTTACATTCCCAGCAATTACGTTAAAGAGAAAGAGCTGCTGGGTCTTCAAAAATATGAGTAAGTGTTGTGGACTTTTAGATTAATTTCTCTCCATAAATCGAAAATGTTTTAACTTCATTTTTGACTTTATTCAACAGTTGGTATGTCGGTGACATGTCACGTCAACGCGCTGAATCACTACTGAAACAAAACGATAAAGAAGGTTGCTTTGTCGTACGTAAGTCATCAACTAAAGGTCTCTACACACTCTCGCTTCACACCAAAGTTCCGCAATCACATGTCAAGCATTATCACATCAAGCAAAATTCACGCGGGGAATTTTATCTCAGCGAAAAGCATTGCTGCGAAACAATTCCTGATTTGATTAATTATCATCGTCATAACTCTGGTGGATTAGCTTGTCGTTTGAAAGTGTCACCATGTGATCGACCTGTGCCACCGACAGCTGGATTATCTCATGGTTAGTAAAAAGAATTGAAATCAATTTAAAAAGATCATTGAGAAAATTTTTATTTTATTAGACAAATGGGAAATTCATCCATCTGAATTGATGATTCTTGAAGAACTTGGCTCGGGACAATTTGGAGTTGTTCGTCGTGCTAAATGGCGTGGTTCTATCGATACAGCTGTTAAAATGATGAAAGTCGGTACAATGTCTGAGGACGATTTCATTGAAGAAGCAAAAGTGATGACAAAGCTTCAACATCAGAATCTGGTGCAGTTATATGGCGTTTGTTCAAAACATCGACCGATTTACATCGTCACTGAATACATGAAGCATGGATCATTGTTGAATTATTTGCGTCGTCACGAACAGTCTTTGATTGGGAACATGGGATTATTACTTGATATGTGTATACAGGTAATTGGCATAGAAACAATTAAAAATCAAATAAACATTTCCAATCTTCTTAGGTTTGCAAGGGAATGTCGTATTTGGAACGTCACAACTACATTCATCGTGATCTTGCGGCGAGAAATTGTCTCGTTGGATCTGAAAACACCGTTAAAGTAGCCGATTTTGGTCTCGCCCGATATGTTCTAGATGATCAATATACAAGCTCTGGTGGCACGAAATTCCCAATCAAGTGGGCGCCCCCAGAAGTTCTTAACTATACAAGATTTTCGTCTAAAAGCGATGTCTGGGCTTACGGTAAGATTTTATTTTTGCGGTTTCCACGATGATGAATCATTTAACTTATGAGATTGTTTCAGGTGTTTTAATGTGGGAGGTCTTCACATGTGGCAAAATGCCATACGGTCGTTTGAAGAACACTGAAGTTGTTGAACGCGTTCAGCGTGGAATAATTCTGGAAAAGCCGAAAGCATGCGCTAAGGAAATTTATGATGTAAAACTAACAAAAATCAAATTGAATTTTAATATGATTTTAATGAGTTATTCTTTTTTTTTAATTGTTCCGTAGGTCATGAAAAAATGCTGGTCACATAGTCCCGAAGATCGTCCAGGTTTTCGTGTATTGAAAGATCAATTGGCCGCAGTTGCGCAAGGTCTCACCGACTAAAAAAATCTTCATCATCATTATTCAACATATCCTCATATTAGCTCCCTCATTACATTCATTAATTGTGCGATGCACAACTCGAATTATATGAAAAGTTACTCAAGAACATTTCTTGTATTACCCCTTAATTCATGGAATTATTTGTAAGTGATGTCATCGAGATGAAGAAATTTTTGCTTCCGAAGATTTTCTTTTTTCAATTTTAACAAATTTTCTAGTGAACTGAGCGAGACGAAATCTTCCATGAAAAGAAACATTGTGACAACCTCGATAACATCATTGATAAATGATTCCTAGAATATATGAAAAAAAAGTGTAGCTATCGACTTACTTAATCGAAAGTAATGTAAACTATTGTTAATCTTCAATTTGAATGCCATTTTATATGATTAATAAAATGTGAAAAAGCGACAGAACGAAATATTTGAACGTTCATAAAGCTCGCAAAAAGAATTGAGAAGAAGAAAGAAGAACCATGAAACTAACCCCATACGCGATATTTTGTAACATTTGATAAAGGACACAGAATTGCATTGTAATGCTGACTAAGTAAATATTAAACAAACAAAAAAAAGAAAAAAATCTTCATGGACTTTTTATCGTTTTTAAAAGCAAAAAATCGATTCGCAATGTTTTAGTCTTGTTTTAGTTTTTAATTTGACAATGAAATCACACGAAAGTGAATTTAAATCTTTTTTTTTTAGTTAAGATTCGTGAATTATTTTCTTATGTTTAAAACCGTGATATTTTAATTACAATAAATGTGCGATGTAAATTAAATCTTAAGAAAGTGAAATGATTCATTTGAAACTTTATATACTGGCAAGATTTATCTATAAGGAATCGGCATGAGAAACGTTAGTGAAGTAGGATTTATAATTATTAATAACAAATCGTTTACATTGATAAGATTGTGTGATTGAATAAAGCAACAAAAAATTTGAAGGAAATTGAAATGAAACAAATAAAATTATTGTTCTTTTTACTGTCAGCAATACATAAATTGAATAAAATTTTTCATTCTTCTTCATCGATGTGCAAATGATTTGCAAGAACTGAAATTTGTTGTTGAAGCAACAAAGTGACAGTCAGAACTAAGAAGCTTCTTTTAAAAAGCTCATTTAAGAAGATTTCGCTTTTCATTTTCTTTTAAGACAAACACATAAGAAATCAAAAGCATAAGAAATCAATAAATCAAAGCTTTTTATACTGATAAAGGAAGTACACAAATAAATAACTTTCCAATTAAAACATACGACTATAAAAAATATCTCGAAGACCATTTTTCTTAACTAGAACTTTTTGATAATTTTTTTTCGATGTGTATCTTGTTATACTTAAAATCTTATCATAACAATTATTAAGTCGAAAGAAAAAATTACTTTCAATCTCGCTTGTTAAACGATTAAAGATTATTAAGCTGAGGATCTTTTTCATCCTCGAAACATAAATTTATGAGCTTTTTATTGTCATTACACTTCAATAGTTTATTTTTTAATGACGATTGTAAAACTTTCATTCGCCTTTCGAATTAATTTTATCAAAGCCAACATAGAAGTAAATATTTTCGTTGCATGATGGATTTGATTTGCATTTTACCTTACTTAGTCACACGATGTGTATTTCAAATAAAAGTGAATACTTTATAATTAATTAAATTGCTGTAAAACAATTTCGTAATAAAACAAAAAAAAACATATTGCATTGAATTGAAATCAATAAATCTTTGAAATTTTAATTAATTTGAATGTTTGTGAAGAGTCTATTTTCAGACATCTTAAATGAGGTTGCGAAGAACAAAAGACCAGTTGTTGAAATGAGATATGAAATAATTCATTCAGATCCAAATTTGGTAAGCTCATATTTTTTTACAGGTTCGCCTAATTTCCACACTGATGATCGATTGTTTCATATCCACCTTTGTTAGTAGTCAGGTATTAACAGTTAGATTTGTCTTAGGTTTTGTTTAATTTTCAGCGAGAATTTTAATTAAAATTCTTAAATTCGTGGGAGAAATTAGAAATTTTGTTATGAGTATGTAACATAATAAACAACTATAGCTGTGTCTGAATTAATATCATCTCTTGCAAGGTACTTAATAAAACAGTTTATAAATTTCATATCAGCATGAAATTGTTTTAGAAAAGTGATTTTCATAGCTCCTTAAAGTTATGCAAAGCTTTTTTCATTTAAAATAAGAATTAAAATTAATAAACAATTTCTATGCTCCTGAAAGTTATGTAAAGTGTTTTCTCTTGTTAATAAAAATAAAAATTAATTCTACAATTTCAAACAAAGGTCAATGTGATTATACATCATACAGTAAAATAAAAATTCTTAAGATTTTCCATTGGCTATTTAAAAGCTTCAGACTTTCCCACCTTGAATAATAAGGAGCATTTCAAAGGAAAACTTCTGCATCAATGCGCAACGGATATGCATTTTATTGTATGTAGTTCCAACGCCAAAAACCATGAACTAGGTGTTTGAAGTAGCAAAGTAAACACGCGATATTGAAATTCCGTCTGCACATGGTCGAGTAATTTTGATTCATAAACATTCTTTCATATTATGAGCTTTAACAGAAGGCAATAAAAGCTTTTTTGTGTTTTTAAATCACTAACACATGTAACAAAAATTACTTTTATTTGTACTATTTTTTGATTCTCCACTTATAAAAGCTTAGGAGCAAAGCTTTCATTCATAAATCTACTTAGAGTTCTTAAATGGAGAACTCCTGGATTCATAATTCGGAGCATATGGAAATATTATAAATATAAAGCACGACGGTTGGAAAATAGTTTTATTAAGCAACGAATATTCGATCGAACAAGTCTTAAATATTTTTCATTCTTCTCTTGGTTCTTAAAAAAGTGTAAACCATTTCTTGAGGATATTTTATAAAATTCTATAATTGTGTGAACATAAAATATTGTGGAAAATATAATAAAATCAAGATTCGTGAATTTATAATCACATCTGGATATTCAAAAAAAAATCACCGGATTAATTTTCATCATTTATTTGGATTAACACAGATTAATTTTAATTAAGTGTAAGTGCAAAATTGTATTTTTTTACATTTGCGGTTTAACATGAAATCTCAGAAATGATAAAGCAAAATGTTTAAAAAATAATTCCTTAAAAAGTGATAAATTCTAAATTTAATTCATAGGAATATTAAGCTGGCTATAAAAGTTTATTTAATTTAATTTAAAAATATTTTTCTTTTCGACATAACATCAAATTGTCATATTTCTGAATAATTTTATGTATTTACTTGATACATCGATTTTTGATTTTAAACTAAGGCCATGAACTATATGAATACGAAGTCACTTGGTTGGAACCAGTAATTTTGTTGTTTTGAATGCGACAATTAAATCACCCGCCAATTTTAATATTGCGTTGTTTCGAGTTGGCGGTCCATAAAGTGGATAAATAAGTAAAACAATATGTTAAAATAGTTAAAAATAAATTATGATGCATCGGCATACGCCGCTTTTGACACTTCCAAAATTCACCAGAGAAACTCATCTATCTAGCTTTTCTTCTTATTAATAATTTGAAACCTGATTTGGTCTTAAATGGAAATGAATTAATCGAAACAACTTTTTCAACGATTAGGTATTTGTTTGCTGCAGATTATTTATTTAAAATTTTTAGACGTAGGTGTTTGCGAGTGTTTATAGTTCTTTGATTTCTATTTCATTTCATTCAAGGCAGAAAATGTTTATCGTTTGTTTTGAGTCGTTTTAAAAGCTATTATTTCGGGGACTCTTTATTTCAATCATCCTTTCGTCATCTCTTTGGAGAAGTCTTTAAAAAGTTGTGACTTGGTAGAGATGTTTTAGTTGTTTCTCTTTGCCACTCGTCCTACGTAAGATAATCAATTCTAAAAAGAGTAATTGTTTGCTCGCAAAGAACAATTGAATTTCAATACATAAAGCAGTGTTTCATATAAATATGCAAAAATAAAAAGATATTTTAAGTGATGTGTTCCTAATTCAACAAAAGTGTTTGTTTACTCTAGTTAAATAAATATTTCTACCAAATATGACGTGAAGAGTTGAACTTTCAAAGTCAAATTAACATTAAGAGACGATCACGCCTAAAATTTATTTTACTATCATGGTGAAGGCTTTCTAATAGTCCAAAACATTTATTGATTCATTCAAACTGGAACAAATTCTGTGTCATTTTTCATTTCCCTTTATTATTTTGCTTGAAATTGATACAAAATTTATTTTGTTATTGATGACACCAACTCAAACAAATTTATGTTTAGCTTTGAGCAAAAACAATGGCAGTTGAAAAATTTACGTTTTTTATCTCTTCAGAATCTTGTTGAATAAAATTTTAACACATAAAACTGGAAACGATTTCATTGTTCTAGAAGATGCAAATCCCTAGATTTCTAACAAGAAAATTAAACATTTTAGCACTGTCATTGATGCTTGCGTTGTTATTGAGTAGGAAGAAAGTTGAATTTCCAATTAAGGTTCGAAGCATCGTCTGGCAAATATTAATTTTGCCTTCTCTAATACGACGAGTTTTCGTTGTCTGAAGTATAAATATTACATCATTGCGCTATTTTGATTTAACTTCATTTTGTTCAACTCACCGATAGACTGTTGTTCTTTAATGGTGATTCTCGTGACTCAAAAGACCAAATAAAGATAATAATTCAATAAGATTTCCTAAACTCAGCTCGTAAATTATCTCGAAAACTTTTTCATACACTACAAGACAGCTTTATGCATCTACGTCCATTTTAAGTAAAGAAGTTCTATATTTAATATAAAATATAACAACAATTGAGGTAAGGTAAACAACAAGCACAATTCAGTAAATATATAAAATTATGTTTCATCAGATACTTGAAATAATAATTTGAAATGATTTTTTAAATATCCTTGGTGAAGAACATGCATCAACCTTGCATCAAACATTTAATGCGGCGTTCTAATTTCATGAATCACGTCAATTCTAGAATGATATAAACGCAAAGAAAAATCGATATCAAGAAATATCTTTTACTTATTTAGGGCATGTCGCAGTTCTTGTGTCGTAGGCTTAAGAGTCTTAAACTTAATTGATGTTGATAATCGTGGTAAACTCCTTCATGACGAAACATAAAAAATCAGATAACGACATTAAAAGAAAACCTTTTCGGGAATAACTGGAAAATTATGTTTACAAACTCGTGCCAGGTTGTGACTGTCATTTTAAGCTCTTCTTTATTTTTTGCCGTTTGATAAATGGAACGGTTTGAAAACTTTTCTTTCGATTTCTCTTTTCTCTTCAAATATTCGTACATTATGAGAAGAGCAATAAAAAAAACTTTTTGTTTTCGTTTGGCGGTAGGAAGCGGCAGAAAGAACATATGATTAATGTTGTCTACTTTTCGATGTGTTACGATTGATTTTTGTTCTATTTTCTGCATTTGCATGAGAATTCAATCAAGAATGTATAAAAATGAACATGAATATCTAATAATCTTATAAAAGTTACATGTCAACAGCTGTTTGAGTGAGTTGCAGACAAGTCTATTGAAAGATATCGACAGTAAGTTGTTGAACTTAGTAGCCGAGTTAATTTATATCTCACTCCAATCTGAGTCCGAATTAATGAATATACAATCAATTATACACCCTCGATATTGAATATTTGAAATTTTTAATTCAAAATCAGAGAAGTCAATGAATTCTTAAGCTTCGAATATTGATTTGATGATATTTGAATTAATTCTGCATAAAACGATTTGAATTGATTCAGAAATAATTTATATAGTTCATCTAGCACGCGTTCGTTTTTATTTTTGATAGATTATATTGCGATTATAATCTAATGCTTTGAATGAATTCATTCATCATAAATCTCGTTGGGAAAACTTCGTTTTTTAATGTTAACACATATTTTTAATAAAGTCACTTATTAGCGTAAATATAAAGTAGCTTGTCTTACTTATCTATTAAAATATCATTAATATTCATCGGACAGGTGGTAGAGACAAAAGTTTATTTACAAATCATTAGAATCTACAAAACGTAACAGAACATAAATCAAAGTTTATTTATTAATTTTTTATGAAAGAATTGAAAGGAAGGAAAACTTTTTTTTTCTATAGCTTTAACAAGTTCCATCACGCGAATAACTAAAAGTCAGCAAATTCCGAATGAAAGTTTTTATTCTTTTGTATAAGCTTATAATAAACATTTCTTTTATACTAAACATTTGTTGAATGTTCTTGTTAATAAATAATTAATATAACATTGATTATCACATTCATGTTTTTGCAGCACTTAATTAAACGAAAATCAATTAAGAAAATGGGTGGATTTGAACAACGACCTTGGACTCCTACAAAGCGACGTGGACCAATTGCAGCAGAAATGTCAAGTCCTGGACCGGCTTGCGTTCAACTTCCAAACCTCTTAGGTAATTTCAATGCAACCAATCATCCGTTAGTTTAATTTATGACTCACAATTTTTGCGTGGATGTTAAACTAGTAGTGACATTGTGGATTATTGCTATAGCTCTGACTGATCATTAACTTCCCTATATAAATGAATTCGATCGATCGTTAAGATTTAGATTGGTTAATTGGCTAATTTTCTCGATACTCATAAGTCAACTCAGTTAAAATGAATTTTTTCTAAAAGTAGATAAAAGAAATATAAAGTTGCAAATGTTTTAAACTCCTACGCTAATCTTTTATTTTCGTTACCTTATAAAGTTTTCTTTTCGACAATGTTTTAGTACTTTTGTCTTCATTTTAGGAACAAAAATACTCGAAAGCAAGAAAGCAGCGGCACCAGCTTTCAGTTTCGGTGCTCGTCATATGAATAAAAACTCAACTTATGGGCCGGGCCCAGCTCAGTATAACATTACGGGACTAGCAGCTAAAGGAAAAGATACACCGCCTCAAATTTCCCTTCAATCAAGGGCTAAACCTTCGAAAGTTATTGAAACACCAGCGCCTGGCGAATATCATATTGAAAAATCGGACAAGTATATTGTTCATGCGGCGCCGAAATTTACATTTGGAGTTAAAAAATATTGCGGTATTACAAACTATGAAACACCAGGTAAACATTAAATTAATTTTTCAGACTGAGTCTCTTCATAAAATTCCAAATACACCAACTGAAACATTTAATAACAGTTTAAACTCATACTTACGAACTGATCTTTCTTATCAGCTATACACCTTTGTAAAATGAAATTAAAACAATGACATTCTTCTTCTTTTCTTTCTTTAATGGTGATAAAGAAAACTTCTCTGAATATTCACCGATAGCGGAATAAATTTTGACTTTTATTTTATGAGAACTTGGTGTTTAAATTTTCAAGTTTGAGGTAGTCTTGTAGCGTGCGTGATATTTCTATGCAGTAGATTATTAAATTTTGATATATTTTAATCTTTGATCTCGCAATTGTAGATTTTGATAAACACTTGCCTTTTATTAGAAATTAATTTTATCAGAAATTCTTTTAGAATAATTTTCACAAGCATCTTAAAATTTGTTTTTTCTTAAGTTCAATTTATTTAAAGTGGTTTAAGCTGTAACTTATTTCCCCACTATTTTTGGTGTTGGGATCTTAAAATGTTGTATAAGCTCAAAATTAATCTAATCAGGTGATTAATTTTTAATTCATTTCTGTCTTACATACTAAAAATTATATCTTTATATCTCATGAATTTCATTCGAATTATCAGGCATCAATTGACATAACATTCAAAATAATATGAATCAGGTAATTTGTAAAAGGTCAATTTATTGTATGAATGCAATTGAAGCCTAAATGCAACATAATTTTGAAATAAATTGGTAAATAATTTCATGACAATTCTTACAGCACCAGGAGCTTACGAACCTGAAAGAGTGAATCTAGATCACACTCCAGCATATTCCTTCGGTATAAAAACCAACGTTGAAAGGCGAAACGACGTTCCTTCCCCATGCCAATATGCTCCAGAAAAAGTAAATCTAGATCAGACGCCAGCTTATTCGTTTGGTATAAAAACTGAAGCAGAAAAGCCAAATGGTGTACCAGCACCTGGTCAGTATTCTCCAGAGAAAGCTAATCTTGATCAAACCCCATCATATTCATTTGGTGTGAAAACCAATCTTGCAAAACCAAATGGAGTACCAGCTCCTGGTCAATATGACGTTGATAAAGTAAAGCTTGACAACACACCAGCTTACACTTTTGGTACCAGAACCAATCTCGAGAAACCAAATGGTGTACCAGCACCTGGTCAGTATTCTCCAGAAAAAGCTAATCTTGATCAAACCCCATCATATTCATTTGGTGTGAAAACCAATCTTGCAAAACCAAATGGAGTACCAGCTCCTGGTCAATATGACGTTGATAAAGTAAAGCTTGACAACACACCAGCTTACACTTTTGGTACCAGAACCAATCTCGAGAAACCAAATGGTGTACCAGCACCTGGTCAGTATTCTCCAGAAAAAGCTAATCTTGATCAGACGCCATCATATTCATTTGGAGTGAAAACAAATATTGATAAACCAAATGGAGTACCAGCTCCTGGTCAATATGACGTTGATAAAGTAAAGCTTGACAACACACCAGCTTACACTTTTGGTACCAGAACCAATGTTGAT